GTAGTAGTAGTAGTAGTAGTAGTAGTAGTAGTAGTAGTAGTAGTAGTAGTAGTAGTAGTAGTAGTAGTAGTAGTAGTAGTAGTAGTAGTAGTAGTAGTAGTAGTAGTAGTAGTAGTAGTAGTAGTAGTAGTAGTAGTAGTAGTAGTAGTAGTAGTAGTAGTAGTAGTAGTAGTAGTAGTAGTAGTAGTAGTAGTAGTAGTAGTAGTAGTAGTAGTAGTAGTAGTAGTAGTAGTAGTAGTAGTAGTAGTAGTAGTAGTAGTAGTAGTAGTAGTAGTAGTAGTAGTAGTAGTAGTAGTAGTAGTAGTAGTAGTAGTAGTAGTAGTAGTAGTAGTAGTAGTAGTAGTAGTAGTAGTAGTAGTAGTAGTAGTAGTAGTAGTAGTAGTAGTAGTAGTAGTAGTAGTAGTAGTAGTAGTAGTAGTAGTAGTAGTAGTAGTAGTAGTAGTAGTAGTAGTAGTAGTAGTAGTAGTAGTAGTAGTAGTAGTAGTAGTAGTAGTAGTAGTAGTAGTAGTAGTAGTAGTAGTAGTAGTAGTAGTAGTAGTAGTAGTAGTAGTAGTAGTAGTAGTAGTAGTAGTAGTAGTAGTAGTAGTAGTAGTAGTAGTAGTAGTAGTAGTAGTAGTAGTAGTAGTAGTAGTAGTAGTAGTAGTAGTAGTAGTAGTAGTAGTAGTAGTAGTAGTAGTAGTAGTAGTAGTAGTAGTAGTAGTAGTAGTAGTAGTAGTAGTAGTAGTAGTAGTAGTAGTAGTAGTAGTAGTAGTAGTAGTAGTAGTAGTAGTAGTAGTAGTAGTAGTAGTAGTAGTAGTAGTAGTAGTAGTAGTAGTAGTAGTAGTAGTAGTAGTAGTAGTAGTAGTAGTAGTAGTAGTAGTAGTAGTAGTAGTAGTAGTAGTAGTAGTAGTAGTAGTAGTAGTAGTAGTAGTAGTAGTAGTAGTAGTAGTAGTAGTAGTAGTAGTAGTAGTAGTAGTAGTAGTAGTAGTAGTAGTAGTAGTAGTAGTAGTAGTAGTAGTAGTAGTAGTAGTAGTAGTAGTAGTAGTAGTAGTAGTAGTAGTAGTAGTAGTAGTAGTAGTAGTAGTAGTAGTAGTAGTAGTAGTAGTAGTAGTAGTAGTAGTAGTAGTAGTAGTAGTAGTAGTAGTAGTAGTAGTAGTAGTAGTAGTAGTAGTAGTAGTAGTAGTAGTAGTAGTAGTAGTAGTAGTAGTAGTAGTAGTAGTAGTAGTAGTAGTAGTAGTAGTAGTAGTAGTAGTAGTAGTAGTAGTAGTAGTAGTAGTAGTAGTAGTAGTAGTAGTAGTAGTAGTAGTAGTAGTAGTAGTAGTAGTAGTAGTAGTAGTAGTAGTAGTAGTAGTAGTAGTAGTAGTAGTAGTAGTAGTAGTAGTAGTAGTAGTAGTAGTAGTAGTAGTAGTTTTAGAAAGTGTACAATGACATGCTCAGTGAAAATGTCTGAAACATCTAGTTTTTTTTGTTTTTGTAGGTCTGTTGGTCAGCAAAATTGTATGTGATGAAGGTCAATAGAAAAGAAAAACTTTGAACTAAAATTCAATACGAGTTTAATTATAATGAAAGAAAACATGGCAAGCACTACAAGCAAAATACAAACATCATTTCATCATTAGTAATACTAGAAAAAAGGTGGATGAGGTCGCGCAAAATCTCTAGATTGGTCAGAGATAGACATTAACACCGGTGGATGCCGGCTCAGTGGTTCAGAGGTTAGGCGTTCGCGCGCAAGACCGAAGGTCCTGGATTCGAATCCTACGAGGTGAAGGAGTCGTGGATGCGCAATGCTGATCATCCCTATACCAAGACGAAACGGTCGTCTTTCAGTGCTTCCAGGTTTCTAATGGTAGTCTAACAATGATTGGTTGATTCTTTCAATGTGTAAAAAGATATCTGCCAGAAAGTAGTATAAATTACATATTCAGAATTAATGACTAGGGGGGGGCTTGACAACATTACACCGAGAAATGGAGACAAACATAAAAAGAATGAATAGCAATTGGACAGAACTAGAAAAGAAGGCCTACAACAGAGTAGGTTGGAGAATGCTGATCGGCGGTCAATGCTGAATTAGGGGTAACAGGCGAAAGTAGAGTAAAGCTTAACAACATACTGCAATTTATGTATTATTCAACTATCTGAAGGTTTGTTGGAAAGCTAACAGGCTAACAATATAAACAATTACTTTCTCAAGAAATATTATATTTAACAATGTAACGAAGTTACGTTAAACCTCAATATGATAGTTGTTTCAGTAATGTTGAACAGACGACTTACAGTGTCTAGATAAGACTCTTGTCAACATAAATGTTTCATAGACTGCTGTCCGATAAAAAAAAGTAAACAAAGAGGAAACTAAACACCAAAAATGTAATTAAATATGATAAAAGAAGGCCTCTCTATATAAGAAGCCCAAAATATGAATGGAAAAGCATTTCAAGTCTCAGTTAGTTATAATCAATGTAGAACCTAACAACACAATTGTGCTCCGACTCAAGTTGCAAAGCTCATTTTATAGAGAACGAATAACAAGAAATAAATTTTGATAAACAAATGAACTGACTAGTGAGTTGACAGCCTAATTGAAAACCACCTGATAATTTGTGGATTGCAGTTCTAATGGGGCAGCATAAACACAAGAGTTTGATATGGTTGGTCGGACAATCAATATAGGGTTTAATAGGAATTCAGTTGGATTCAATATCTCATTGTTACATCAACACAAAGAGAAAAGATATAAAAAAGAATAGAAGCAGATGAGTGAAAAGACGTCAACTGTAATGAATTAACACAACATTACGTTGGACTGTTCAATTTTATCATCTCAAATGAATGATGCTATTCCAGAGGTAACTAAGAGAAAGTGTATGTTGACAATAAAGAGAATCTGTAAGATGTGGTCTTTCTGTAATCGTTGGAATTAAACCCAATAATGAAAGTCACAGCATTCATTTCTTTAAAAATGGCTTATTCAAAACTCCTATTTAATTTATAATATTTCGAGAGACATAGTAGATAACAGTGAGATCCAGGATGCGCGTTTCATCCTATTTGAGTTTCTTTAGCTGGATTTATCTGTAATCCCAGAGGTAATGTTCACTCTGCGACTTAGACCTAGTACCACTTGCTTCAAAGCGCATCGTATTATTCACTTAGCTATTGATTCCAGATAGCCACTCACTTTTGAAAAGGATATGAGTTATAATTCAATCAGAAAAATAATACTCACTTCTAAAAGAACAGGTTTTCAGATGTGTTACGTATCCTTGTATACATACACAGACAGACAGATAGACAGATACAACGCAGAACTTCGTACGTAAGTACATCATTTCAGGTTGCCAAAACGCCTCAGCACAGAAACGCAACTAACAGTTCAAATTCAATAGTGGTAGCGATAGTATAAGTATTAGTAGTGATGGAGAAGATTAGGGTTCGAAGATATGATTCGAGAAGTATAATTCAGTGAGATAAATTCGGAAAGAGAAAGATAGAGATGATGAGGAATTCAGAAGGTTAGAATTTGAGAGAACACAAAGAGTGGATGCACTTGCGCCACTGCAAAACAGGTTTTCAGATATGTAACGTATCCTGGTATGATCTGGTGACCTAGTCTACAAGACCAATGAACTGAATGTTCACAGAGACTAGATCACGTTAGACCGGATGCATGATTCCCGACCAAAACAGAGAACCACAGTAAGCAATAGACAATATTCTATCCGACACAATTACAAGTAGTCACACTCAGTGAATGAAACCATATATTTAATAGTCAATAGGATAACCAATCATATTTTCCTTTCACTACCAGACATCACTTCGCTACAATTCACTTTTTCCAGGAATATACAACAAAGTACAGTATGAATAAAGCCAGATTTGAACATATTCAAAGGATAGTCAGTTAAAAATATCTAATAATGAAACTGAGGCAGTAAAGATGTTTTTTTATATGTTGTGACATTGCCCATTTAAATATTAGATCACAATGAAAAAAAGCCCAAGCGAAACTGAAAGCTTACATCTCAATGTTACACTGTATCTTATGTTCAGCTGATTACGTTTAGAATAAAGTTTCACTTTCCTTGTTACTTCACTCCCTACCACTAGTTGCATCGGCACCGTAACTAGTGATAGGGAGTGAAGTAGTCGAACGTGTAGACCGCTTCACTTATCTGGGGAGTCTCATCAGCGCTGATGGCCTAGTGACTGGCGAAATCTCAGCTCGGATACAGAAGGCTCGATTGGCGTCACTTATAGCGCAGGCGAGATATCCATTTGCTGACTGAAGGACGAGTGTACTGTGCAGCAGTTCACTCCGTCCTACTGTACGGATGCAAGACTTGGCCGTTGAGAGAAGGGGACTTCCGTAGTTTACTAGTCTTCGACCATCGATGTCTCCGAAGCATTGCTCGTGTATCATGGGACAACCATATAAGCAATGCTGTCGTTAGGAGACGAGTTCTAGGTAGGAATGGCAAATCAATAGATGAAGTAGTGAAACTTCATCAGTTGAGGTGGTTAGGACACGTGTTACGTATGGCTTACTACTGACTGCCTCGACGAGCTGTTTTGCAGTGTAGGAGTAGATTGGAAGAAAGCTAGGGGCGGCCAAACCAAAACATGGCATAAATGCATGAAGTCACTGACAAGTGGACTGAGTCATCTTGGTAGATGTAGGCTACCTGGTTGAGGTCCCCGAAACGATAGTCACCGATGGTTAGAGACTTTGAATGACATGGCTCAGAATCGTTTCAATGGCGCAGGTGCATCCACTCTTTGTGTCCTATAAAATTCTAAGCTTCTGCATTACTCATAATCTCTACCTTTCTCCTTCTAAATTTATCTCACTGAATTATACTTATCGAATCATATCTTCGCTCCCTAATCTTCTCCATTACTGCTGATACTTCTATTATTGCTATCACTCTTGGATTTGAACTGACAGATGCGTCTCTGTGCTGAAGGGGCATGGCAACCTGTCTGTCTGTCTTTCTTGTTACGGTATGGAACTTTTCTATTCCGAAAAGTTGAAAATACTACACAATCATTCTGTGTATATATAGCAGCAACAATAATATTGAGAACATACAACACAGTCGTAAGCTAACAAAGAACCAATCAGGTCAACATCGAAATAATAATAATGGTTTTATTATTTGTGTGTTTAGAATATGGAATTTTCAGAATGGAATATTTCGACAAGTTTCCACTGTAAAACCAACCAAGCAACCAACAACAAAAAAAACCCACTAACTGCGTATCAAAGACTTTCTTACTGGTCAGAACTCCAATCTACTAAAGAAGGGAACTGTTACGGGTATGAGGGCGGATGTCATTTCCCGGCTGCCCACACCGTGGGAGGTTGTTTCTTGAGAAACTTGAAAAGGCAGAAGGGAACTATACTGTTTGAGATTTTCCTAATGGGTACACGAATATTGGATTCTGTCTAAAGGTAACCCAACCACAAGACAAAACTGTGTACGTTCCACATAATTGAATACATTCTCAAACTGTCTACCACCTACATAAACATGGTCAACAAACTATGCATCATGCAACATTGATGTACCACCTTACATGCTGGTTTTTTTTTTAGAGAATAATAACAGAGATAATAATAATAAGTCATTTTTACTGCTTGAAACACGTACAATTTTACCAACAACAAGAAAAAAAAGAAAATGCCACCCACTTCTTTCGCAGAATACACAGCTGTTATTTTAAAGATAATTTTCAAAAAAATTTTTATGAAACCATAAAAACATGCTGCTACATCGGAGATATAGTAGCTTTACTACAATCCAATCTTGACAATCACTTTGAACAAGACTATCGGAATAAACATGATACTTTAATTCATTCATTCAGTCAGTCAGTCAGTTGCAACGTACAACTTCGTACGTAAGTACATCAGTTCATGTCGCCATACCACATCAGCACAGAGATGTAATTGTCAATTCAAATCCAATAGTAGAAGAGGTAGTAAGGGAATTAGAAGTAATCGGAGAGGTTAGGATTAGAAGATTTTATTCAAGAAGTATGATTTAATGAGAAAAGTTTAGAGTCGAAACTAGAGGGGTTGAAGAATCAAGAAGATTAGGATTTGAGAGAACGCGGAGAATAAATGCACCGTCGCCACTGCAAACGATTTTGAGCCATGTCATTCAAAGTCTCTAACCATCGATTATTATCATCTCGCCGACTCCAACCAGGTAGTCGACAATTACCGACATGTCTAAGTCCACTTGTCAATGACTTCATGGACTGCTGCCATGTTTTGGTCTGGCCGCCCCTAGATTTCTTCCAACCTATTCCTACACTACAAAACAAAGCTCGTCGAGGCAGTCGATGGTTAGGCATACGCAGCACATGTCCCAACCACCTCAACTGATGAAGTTTCACCACTTCATCTATTGATCTGCCATTCTTACCTGGCACCTGTTTCCTAATAACAGCGTTGCTCACTCGGGTGTCCCAGGATATACGAGCAATGTTTCGAAGACACCTATGATCGAAAACCAGTAACCAGTAATTTATTCAGTTTTCTAAACTCAATATTCTTGAAAACAATTGTAGATTTTGCTATTTAGAAGGGATACTTGAAATACAAGAATTCTATACATAATAGTGATCTAGAAACAGTTTCCATCATGGACAATTAACAAAGAATGAGGTTTGACGACGTACCGTATATGATATTAAAGACTATTTTTTTTCTAAAGATTGAAATACTTATTCACTATTCAAATAAAATGTTTATGTAAATTTGTTTAATTTAAAGATAATGTTTAGCATTGTTTTCAGTGTCTCATAGATGATAGCAACCCATAATAGCACACTAAAATAGACAGCAGCCAATCACAGCCAAGGATTTTCCTAGTGGGAAATAAAATCTCAGGGTCAACTGATCAGCCCACGCTCGCAAACGTGAAATACAAAGTACGGCATTTGCATTTATCAAGCGAGTTCTGAGGATCTAACGTCCCCAACACTAACTCAAGGAGACTATCAACCAACATCAAACCCACAATTTTCAATATAAATGTCCAGACGGTTCTACTGTGTGGAGCGGAAACTCGGAGAACTACCAAAGCCATCATCCAAAAGATACAAGTATTTATTGACAGTTGTCTACGCAAAGTACTTCAGATCCGTTGGCCAGACACCATCAACAACAACCTGCTTCGGTAAAGGACGAACCAGAATCCAGTAGATGTAGAAATCTGGAAGAATCGCTACGTCACAAAACAAACCCTTTCTTGGAATCTTCAAGGACAAATGAGAAGGACCAAAGAACACATTACGCCGAGAAATGGAGACAGACCTAATAAGAATGGACGAAAAATTTGACAGAACTGGAAACGGAAGTCCGGGACAGAGAAGGCTGGTAGATGCTAGTCGGAAACCTATGCTCCATTGGGGGTAACAGGCGTAAGTAAGTAAGCAACATATTCTACGATACGCTGTAATCCGATCATCAGCATTATCAATAGAAATACACATAAGAGGTAAAGAACCCTTTCTAATGATGTTGCTAGGACTGTCGACTTAAAACGAGTTCATTTAGGTTATTAATATCACCAATTGAATAAACTATACAAATAAAAACATCCATTGATGGACATTAGGGAGTTTGTATATCCAAGGCACGTACACCCTATCTATAGCGTGATCTATTCACATCATAACATAAACAGACTGTACACATACGTACACACAAACTATGCGTACAACTCAAAGAATATCATCATCATCATCTACAGACAGACATAAAACTCGATAACGATTGACAAACTAAACACGCTACCAAACACGCTTCAAGTTCATTCTTTTTCATCAAATAGTACAGAAAAAAGAAACTAGGACAGGCTTCAATCAAAATCGATCAGAGCACAATCAATCAAAACGAACCAATCAGTATGCAGTTTTGAAATTGACCAATCAGAATACAGACTGCTGGTTGTAACATTTTTTTAGAATTTTTTTTTTAGTACATGAAAATTCAGACCAGGCATATAGAATATTAAGGCTGATGGACCATTTGAGTAGTAGTAGTAATAACAGTAATAGTAATGATTACCTACTACTACCGCTTAGAATTATTAATATGAGTACTATTATTATATGACAATAGACGGTACTCCGGAAACATGTACATGCATATTATGCTATGTAATATCATAGAATATTTTCTTTTTAAGAATTTGTTCATTACGAAAAAGTTTCATTGAAAGTATTGCAGAAAAGATATTTCTAGTTAATTTTGTAAAAGACAAGACAAGAAACAAAAGATATAATTTTTTTTTAAGAAAAAAATGTAGGATCGTTTGAGAAATGCACTTGTTTTTTTTGACGCGCTACTGTTGCTTTCTAGTAATCTTTACAATTACCAGTATAGTACAAGTTTCACAGTAAATGTAAGCTCCATCAGAGATGAATTATATTCGAAGCCTATCTATCAATAAATAAAATAACTGTAACAATTCAATACGAAGTTAAGTATTCTAGATGACAATAAATACTTTACACATTTGAAATCATCAATCAATCATTGTTAGACCACCATTAGAAACCTGGAAGCACTGGACGACCGTTTCGTCCTGATATGGGACTCATCAGCAGTGCGCATCGACGACCCCTGCTCCTCGCAGGATTAGAACCCGGGACATTTGGCATTGTAGGCGAACACCTTACCATCGGACCACTGGGCCGGCATCCAACGGTGTTAATGTCTAACTCTGATTGATCTAGGGATTTTGCGCGACCTCATCCATTCGTCTTTGGTAGTTACTGCCTACTGCACCCGACAGGGTTGAACTCCATTGGTCATGTCTTCTCAACTAGAACTCCGAGAATTTCCTCACGAAGCTAGTCACTAGGGAGCACTGTTACGATATTTTGGGGCACAAATGTGTAAAACAAAAACACAAACCTCCAAAACTGTACCCCAAAAATAAATACTTTGACAATTTAGTCTATGGAATATAATATTACTTACTTCAAAAAAGAATGGATCCATTTCCAACCGTGTCAGATTACAATTATCCACAACGATTGTTGACAGTCCAGAGTGCATAGATGACCAAACTGCAGCAAAATTAATACAAATAAAATACTTTATGATTTTTATAAGGCATCAGAGAGAGTTTAGTGAAGTTATTCAAGCAGTAACGAATAATAATTGTAATTAGGTAAAAAAGTAAACATGTTTCCCATTGTCTCCCACATCTGGATTTTTATTCGTGGTTTCATCCTAGCAAGAATCCACTTAACACTAAGGTTATCAAAATGACTGACAGAATTATATTATGTAATTGGATTGATTTACCTGATACAAATTGATGACATGATGAGTTTACGCTATTCATCTCAATCATTCACTGACAGAAAATCCACAATAAATTACTTAATCATTCAAGTCAATCAGTCAGTCAGCTACAACGTAGAACTTTGTACATACGTACATTACAGAGACGCAAATGTCCCATAGTAGTGTAGAGGTGGTAAAAGTATTAGCAGTAATAGGAGAGATTAGGGTTCGAAGAAATTATCTTTACATGGTGAGGTCAAGTGAATGATGGTACTCGGATCGTGTATGCGCGTTTCCGAAACGCAGCATACATTGATTGAGCGAGATTCTAATGTCCTAGCTAATGAAGCCTGTTGACCTATTTGACATAATGTCCGTACATTAAAAGCTCCAACATGTAGTCTAGAGCGGGGTTTCAAGAGACCAGAAATGACGTTTCGTGAACTCGCATCGTTCGCATTAACTGTGCAGTGTGATAAAGGAATATGAGAAGAGTTAGTTGTAGAGATAAGAGAGGTTTTAGGGGGTGTAAGAAGGATTAAATTTTGACTAATTTGGTCTCGTGTGCTGTTAAGGGTTACGAGTTCTAGATAGGGATGGCAAATCAATAGATGAAGTAGTGAAACCTAATCAGTTGAGGTGGTTGGGACATGTGTTATCATACAATGGAGCCCCGACCGTAGCTGCTACCTTGACGTGGTGGTCGGGCTTGCATATCGTGATGACCCAACCGAGCTATATTGGCTGGAACACATGTTCCTGAAGGATCTACCATGCCAGACAAGTCGTTTGGAGAACGATGAGACTAAAAGCAGCTACTCAAGGTCTGAGGGCGAAGTCGTACTGCTGACTGCAGAGGGGTGTGACAGCAGTAAGGTGTTTCCCTCGGACAACCAGCATCTGCAGCGATGCTGCCTTCTCACAAGGGAGGAAGGGTTAGAAAAGGTCGACTCTAAAAATGTCACACCTCACCCTACCTCACGGATTTCCGTCTCCTTGGGTAAGGGTGCCCACTAAAGGCCTTTAAGAGCGGAGCTAATCCTCAAAAACCTTTCATTTACAATTAAGCATAGAGTAAAAAAGAAAAATTAACTTTGATTCATGTTAGTTTAGATTGAACAAGAAAAATACCAATACAATAGTTCAAATTGACTTTGATTAAGAAAAAAAATATTTCGACAATAGAATAATTAGTCAATGATTTATTGAATATTCTCTGAACTATGGTAAGTTTAAAAATGGCACAGCTTTCATTTGAAAAAGGCGTTGATGACTTTTTCTTTATTCAGGAATTATCAATGAAAACTAGTCAAGTAGACCATCACCACCATCACACAGGTGAGATAGAATTCAATATACACTAATAAAAATAATCTAAACTAAGCTAGAGGAGTAAAAGAAAGCGCTTTTTTTCTTAATAAAGTTTCACCTCTATATAATTAACTTAAACAAGATTGAAAAGAGCAAAGGTTTAAACACTTATTTCCGCCCTGTCATTTACAATGCCGTCGTTAGGAAACGGGTGCTAGGTAAGGATGGCAGATCAACTGATGAAGTGGTGAAACTTCATCAGTTGAGGTGGTTGGAACATGTATTACGTATGGCTAACCACCGACTGACGCGACGAGATATGTTTTGTAGTGTAGGAGTAGGTTGTAAGAAAGTTAGGGGCGGCCAGACCAAAACATGGCACAAATCCATGAAGTCATTGACAAGTGGACTGAGTCATGTTGGTAGATGTAGACTACCTGGTTGGGGTCCGCGAGATGAAAGTCATCAATGGTTAGAGACCTTGAACAACATGGCTCAAAATCGTTTGCAATGGCGCAAGTGTATCCATTCTTTGAGCTCTCGCAAATCCTAATCTTCTGGATTCGTCAACACCTCTACCTTGTCTTCTAACCTCATCTCACTGAATTATACTTTTTGAATAATATCTTCAAACTCTAGTCTTCTTCATTACCATTAATACCTCTACGATCTTTATCACTATGGGATTTGATTTGATATTTGAGTCTCTGTGTACTATCGTGGTATGGTAACTTGAACTTATGTACATACGTACGAAGTTCTACGTTGCAACTGACTGACTGACTGCCCTGTCATTTAGATAGATGCTTACAAATTATAGAATCAATGTCCTATATGTTTGTTCTAAGTTTGTTTGATTTCTATCAATCAATGTTAATAAACACAGAAACACTTTGCCAAAGTTGTATTTCCGCATAAGCTTGATTGTTTTCTGATTTGTATTTTGATTGGATCCTGTTTACGAATTTTCTCGTATCCCAAGATCATGTGTGTTGTTAATTGTATGTGCAGAAATGTCCTATTTTAATTTCATCTTCTTCCATGGAATATCAAGCATTTACCATACACTCTTCTCATTGGTTCGGATTCCATCATTGAAGCGCTGCGTGAGTATATTGTTGCGCTCGTCACTAAGTATGCTTGAGGCTATTCCGAGTTTACCTTAGTCGATAAACGCGAACGAGACAATAAACCAGCGCCCAGGTAGGGTACCTCGAATCCCCAAATAGAGTAAAAAGGCTTTGTAAGCGTAGAAAGTATATTCTACAAACACCCAGCAATCACAGTACAATCAAGCATACAACTCTCGTTTATTTATACATCATAGAAACGTCCGTGAGACAGTTAAGAAAATAGCACACTAAAATACACAGCAACCAATCACAGCCATGGATTTTCCTGGTGGGAATTGAAATCTCAGGGTCAACTGGTCAGCCCATGCTCGAAAACGTAAAAACCAAAATTAGGCATTTATCAAGCGAATTATGGGGATCTAACACCCCCAACATATATAGTGGATCATTTTCATTTTTTAAATAGTTCCATCATTATTTTTGATTTTGAATCAATTTTAGTATGATTTAGGTTCAATGCTCAATCACAATTAGTGGGTTACATTGGCGAAACAAAGATCAGCCATATTATTGATGTAAACGAACACAGCTGCCAGGTAAACAGGGGCACCAGCACAGACGCGTTCAGCGTAATTACCCTTGCGAAGCAAACGATGAACACGACCAACCGACCAGCACGGGCTGACCTAGTTTTCGCCTTGGCTCGTGACTTTCCACCTTTACCGCGTCCACTCATTATCAGTTAGAGGAGAGAAATGTGCACGTTAATGATTAGTGGACTCCTATTAAGTAAGCCATTTTGTAACAATCACTAAGCAAGACTAAGCGTGAAATAAAATTTATGGAATTATTAATCGTTAGATAGAATTCATTTGATTTTTACCAATTTGGTCTCGCGTGCTGTTACGCGTGTAGTGGTAGGAATAGGTTGGAAGAAAGTTAGGGGCAACCAAACCAAAACATGGAAGAAATCCATGAAGTCATTGACGAGTGGACTTAGACATGTCGGTAATTGTCGACTACCTGGTTGGGGTCCGCGAGATGATAATAATCGATGGTTAGAGACCTTCAATGACATGGCTCAAAATCGTTCGCAATGGCGCCGATGCATTTATGCTTCGTGTTCTCTCAAATCCTAATCTTCTAGATTCTTCAACAACTCTAGTTTCGACTTTCTAAACTTTTCTCATTAAATCATACTTGTTGAATAATATCTTCTAATCCTAACCTCTCCGATTACTTCTAATACCTCTACTACCTCTTCTACTATTGGATTTGAATTGACAATTATATCTCTGTGCTGATGTGGTATGGCGACATGAACTGATGTACTTACGTACGAAGTTCTATGTTGCAACTGACTGAGATAGAATCCATAAAACGAAGTTTTTCCTAAACCTACTTCTGGTTCTTCTGTTGATTTTACCTCTCTCTCTTGTAGTGTTATTTAGTATGATAAGGTGAACTTCGTGCATAAATCTATCTAAAGTTAAACGATAAAGTGAATCCGATAATTACATTGAGTCTAAAGTGAGTAAGTGTAAAATATACTTTATACTATTTTCGTCAGATTGAACTCGGTTGGACTAATAATGAAAATAAGACAGCATTGTACAGCTGAAACTCTTCTTCAGCAATCTACGCTCATAACTCATACACACCATGAATACAAACATGAACCTTGTGCAGTCCCAGTACTATGATGGCACAGTTGTCCAGTATCGTTTGATTTTTAAATAAGATCAATCTGTAATGAATACAAGCTACAAGTTAAACCATTCCTTCATAAACCATGAGATGATGATAGACAGTAGACAAACGCACTACTACGAATAGCTAATCTATGAAAATTACACAATATTAAACTAGAAAATGATTTCATGAACTTGACAAGTCTCAGTGACAAGACTGTTTCAGATATAGTCAATACCAGAAATCAGCCATTGAAACATCTAAACTAGCTCATATAATATATAAAACACCCACACACAAAGTTCATTGCGTCATAATGGCTTCAATTTCAAGTTAAACACACACAGACACACACACACACTTACACACGTATACACAAATATATATGTCTCTGCCTTAAAATGACCAATCATGTTGATGTTGATTTTTTTTTTTTCAAAATATATTTCATATCATTTATTGGCTTCTCTCGCCTGCTACCCCCTCTGTCCTCAGTATTGATTATATGTTGGTAAGTTGTTAAGCCTATTATAATAATGTAGTTCCACCAAATACGACTACTCTACACTACAATTCAATGGTCATGACCTGAAATATATAACAACACAGAGTTCCGTTTTCATAACATCCAATCATTTAATCAGTAGTATTAGTAGTAGTAGTAGTGGTAGTAGTAGTAGTAGTACTAGTAGTAAGTAGGTAAGTAACCATTCATACCTATCAACCATACTTACACACTATATACAACCGAGAAAATTATGTACTGTATGATGATATGACTGACTGATTTTATTTTTTTTGATACAATCAAACAACTAGTTTAGATAGATACACACACACACGCACACATGTACGACTAAACACAGTCAGCATCATTAATCCTCCTACATTGTGAATTGTAGCCATTATGAAATAAGATTGTCAATTGTTCGTTAACTAATGATGAATTAGTTATGTTATGAGAGCAGAACGAGTGACTTACTTCTTTAAAGATCACTATATTTTAATTACTTGGATGAATAAGTCTGAAAAAATTTTCATAGAAATAACCTACGGAAACTAGTGATATCTGAATCTAAGAGAGAGAGAGAGAGACACACACAGACACACACGCACAATTCACCTTGAGATGGTGGAGAAAATTCATACCTCAGGTGAATGACTGTGGTGGTGTTTCATTCTCTGAGCTGAACGTTGTTTTGGTTGTGAAGCTTGCGATGTTCTTCTGAAGAACAACATCATCAACACAAAATTCAGGTAGAAGTGAAGTATTTGAATTTCTCCACGTTTGACCCGTAAGCTTGTTCTGTTAACTTTGATCTTAATTGGTTGCTGTTGACATAGGCGACATAGGATCAAGAAACAAATCAAAATGGGGACAATCAATACAAAGGTGGAAACAACGACAGATTTAAGGTCAGCAGCAATTAATCAAGATTGAGATTAACAGAACAAGCTACGGATCATAGGTGGAGGACTTTAAATACTTTATTACTGACTGAAGTTTCTGCTCCTGATGATGTTGTCCAGAAGAACAACGAAAACTCCACAACCAAAACAACATCCAGCTCAGTGAACGAAACACCACCACAATTCATCGTCTCAAATCATTTGATCAAGTGTATGTAGGATATGTAGTTATGATCAAGCTATAGAAAGAAAAAGTACTATTATATATTAGGGTTGAGAGAGCACAAAGAATGGATGCACTTGCGCCATTGCAAACAATTTCGAGCCATGTCAATCAAGGTCTCCAACCATCGGTGACTTTCGTCTCGCGGACCCCAACCACGTAGTCTACATCTACCAACATGACTCAGTCCACTTGTCAGTGACTTCATGGATTTCTGCCGTGTTTTGGTTTGGCCGCCCCTAGCTTTCTTACAACCTACTCCTACACTACAAAACATAGCTCGTCGAGGCAGTCGGTGGTTAGGCATACGTAACACATGTCCCAACCACCCCAACTGATGAAGTTTCACCACTTCATCTATCGATCAGCCATCCTTACCTAGTACTCATTTCCTAACGACAGCATTGCTTACTCGGTTGTCCCATGATATACGAGCAATGCTTCTCAAACATCTATGATCGAATACTAGTAACCTACGAATATCTTCTACTCTTAACGGCCATGTTTCACATCCATATAGGAGAACGGAGCGAACTGCTGCGCAGTACACCCGTCCTTTGGCTAGCGAACGGATATCTCGCCTACGACATAAGTGATGCAGGTTGGCAAAGGCCAATCAAGCTTTCTGTATCCGAGCTGAGATTTCGTCAGTCACCAGGCTATCAGCACTGACGAGACTCCCCAGATAAGTGAATTGATCAACACGCTCGACTACTTCACTCCCTATCACTAGTTCAGGTGCTGATGCAACCCAGTCTTGAAGTAACACTTTGCATTTCGAGGGGGAAAACCGCATACCGAACATGCTCGCATTGTTGCTTAGGGTAGTCAGAAGACTCTGTATTTTGTCAGCGTCTTCACCCAATAGAACTATGTCATCGGCATATTCTAGATCATTAAGCGATTATCTTGGTAGAAGGTCAACCACTGAAAAATCTGACGAGCTTAATCTTAACTCAAAAAGGATGTCTATGACAAAGTTAAATAAGAATGGAGAGAGTGGACAGCCCTGACGGACACCGCTTGATGTAGGGAATTCCGGTGAAAGTTCGCCATAAGCCATATATATAACCATTACCTTTTAACTTGCAAGCAGCTATTGCTTCATCCAATTTACTATTATCATATTTGTAATTATGTTCACATTCATCATAGAAATAATCATCATTTGAAGCAATTATGAAATGATCTTGATTAAGTTGATCAACAAGAAATCTGAAATTTTAAACGTAAAAAAAACAAAAAACAAACAGATTCAATGAATAGATGAAAAAAAATTAAACATTCAAAGCTGCTAAACTTGCATTGACCTTCTCCAGTCGACCAGCGATGTCTACTCAAACGAAGGATAAGTTAACTGAGTTGGCCTCCTCTATGTGCATTTACAAATTCAGCTGCTCCTGTAGAGATAGCTATATCGGCCGTACTTCCAAGCAACTTACACAACGAATGAGTGAACATCTCCCAGCATGGTTTAAAGAAGGGTCAGTCAAAAACAATACACAGTTCTATCTTAGCACACCTGGTAGATAATGGTCACATTGTAGATAAATCTAGATCTTTTCGGATGATCTATCGTATACCTCCATCATTCCCCAACGGAGTTCGATCCCGTCTCCTACACACTGCAGAAGCCATAGGAATACGTACACTCAACCCTAATTTATGTGTTCAGAAGAAATTTGTGACACCCCTATCTCTTCCGTGGCCGGATATGACGTAACTAACGATGGACATTCTATATTTTTTATTTTATTTTTACACATTTGCTTATTACGTAATGTTTTTGAGGTTTTTGATGATTATTTGAATTCTATTCATCCACCCTTGACCTACTTTAGTTATCATATTTTATAAATTTTCTTACTACTATCAGTACACCTGTTTTCCTACTATCCACTTGAACTTTTGCCTATTATATGTAGTTACGTAATCTTTTTCATTTCATTGTGATTATCACTCAAATTGCCTTGATTGGTTTCACATTTTCATATAAATATTCATGTATATTAGAGTAAAGCCTGATGACGATCTAATCAAAAACAATATTGTTCGCTTATATGTGTTGTTCTGAAAAAAAATTAAACAATATTTCTACTGATTGCGCATTATTTTTTTCCCTAACATTGTATCCTATAATCCACCGTCCTTACTTCATTCATTAGGATATTATTTTCTATGATAATGCCATATCACTCATTGTATACTGTCTCAAATTGAATCGATCGCCGATTCTATGTTGATTACGATTGACGACTAGTTTCAGTCAGTCAGTCAGTTGCAACGTAGAACTTCGTATATATGTACATGAGTTCATGTTGCCATACCACATTAGCACAAAGACGCAGATGTCAAATCATATCCCATAGTGATAAAGATAGAAGAGATATTAATGGTAATGAAGAAGACTAGGGTTTGAAGATATTATTCAAGAAGTATAATTCAGTGAAATAAGGTTAGAAAGACAAAGGTAGAGGTGTTGACGAATCCAGAAGATTAGGATTTGAGATAGCTCAAAGAGTGGATGCACTTGCGCCATTGCAAACGATTTTGATCCATGTTGTTCAAGGTTTCTAACCATTGATGACTTTCGACTCGCGGACCCCAACCAGGTAGTCTACATCTACCAACATGACTCAGTCCACTTGTCAGTTACTTCATGGATTTGTGCCATGTTTTGGTCTGGCCGCCCCTAGCTTTCTTACAACCTACTCCTACACCACAAAACAGCTCGTCGAGGCAGTCGGTGGTTAGGCATACGTAACACATGTCCCAACCACCTCAACTGATGAAGTTTCACCACTTCATCTATTGATCTGCCATCGATACCTAGTACTCGTTTCCTAACGACAGCATTGCTTACTCGGTTGTCCCATGATATACGAGCAATGCTTCTTAAACATCTGTGATCGAATACTAGTAACCTACAAACATCTTCTACTCTTAACGGCCATGTTTCACAGCCATACAGGAGAACGGAGCGAACTGCTGCACAGTACACCCGTCCTTTGGTTAGACGACTAGTTTATAAACTATCATAGGTTGTATAATTATTAATTGTATAACCAAATAGAATATGAATTAAAAGTTTTACATTAAAGAAGCATTTGCAATGTCAAATAGACAACTGCAACACTATTATCTACAAACGTAGGGAGCTACTTAAAATCTACTGTTTAAAACTTATCTATCTAGACTTATTATATATGGCCAATTGACAGCTTCTCATAAAATTGAATTTATAGTTGAAATCACAAACTGACGTAAGCCAAACTATCAATGAAAAGCTGTAATCATTAGATGGCTGTTCCGCCTTATTATAGTACTTGTCAACAGTCCTAAGTCCATACATCGGAATCAAGCCCAGGACATTCGGTCTTATACGCGAACGCTTGACTTCTAGATCACTGAATCGGAATCTAATGGTTAGAAATCGTGACTAATGGATTATAAATTCGTGTCGAGTAAAAGACAGTTATCCGCTGCAAGCAAACGATGAATGTTAAGTAACACCATGGACTGATTGAAGTTAGATAGTGACACCTTTGGATACTGATTTAGTAATCTAAAGGTTAAAAGTCTGGGCGCGAGACCGAAGATTCTGGGTTCAATTTTCGTGTGCAGAGGTCGTGGATGCGTACTGTTGATGAGTCCCATACTAGAATAGGAAGGCTGTCTAGTGATTCCAGGTTTCTAATGGTAGTCGCGCTTAAATCAGTTCATCATTTCAACCATCAAAACAGAACAAACTCTACAAATCCAATTCATGAATAAATAGTTATTAGTTGGTTAGATTAATCGACTTGCAATCAATAAAGTTTACAGGTTAATTTCACCAGTCCCATTTAGTTCAGTTTAAACAATTGAAAAATATTAACAGTATTTATTGATAAATTGTATTTAATTTTTTATATTATATCAATTAACGTTCTATTGTCAAGGGTAATTTTACATTGGTTTTCAGGAGAACCAAGGAGACTGCCCACGTGTTAGCATTTCAATGTGAACAGTTCGGCCCAGACCCGTGGTGCAACCACAAAGGTACCTAACACCCTGGTGAACCATTCACACCATTTATATACATCTTAGTACATATATAGCGATTATTTCCTATCCAGGATCGCATCAATCAATATGCACCGCATGAACAGGCCAATTTGACCCATCCCGCTTACATGACTATCAAACTCATTATTATTAACAATGGTGATATGCAATACAGCACCCTAATGACAGTAGCCCTGAGGAATGTTGCAAAACAACCACTAGTATCAATCAAATCGGTCACCCTGCTAGCCTAATTTGTATATGGATTGTTAGCAATAGTTGCCAAAGCAACACCAAACTATCCACAATGTTTACAGCGAACCTCTGGTCTCATAGAAAACTTTCAACTCTGTATAGCAGTATAGCACATAGTATATACATAGTATGGCATAGAATAGCAAGAGATGCAGCGCAGCTTGATGCAAATGGGCTTTGTCTCATGTTGGGTAATGAGTTTTTCTCAATACCGAAATAGTCATTCTTTTTTTGACCATATGAGACCTGAGTTAGAGGTAGGTAGTATGCCTAAAATTTTATTTAAGTGTCAAATTCATTATAGATCTACTGATTTGTTGAGCTGTGTTGAGCATTAATTTACCAGATTATCATACTTAGTTAGTAAATTTATGCGAGACATTAGAAGACTGTCCATTTATTGATTACATGAATATGATTGGACTCTGTCATACATAGAAGATATCATTTGACAATTTTATTAAATGGTTAGACAGTTTTCATAGGATTTAAAGTACCTACAGCACATTCAATCTTGAATTTTTATTGAAAAGAAATTGCATAGCCTTAAACATGAACCAGTGAATTCAGTCAGTTATTAAAATAAACTAATTATGAATTTGAGTTATTTTTTTCTGGTTAGCGTTTTTTTAGCAAGTTAATTTTATGGTGGGATGGGGTCGCCAACCCCATGACCAACCCTCCTCCATTATCCGGGGCTTGGGACCGACAGTAGTCCCGAAGGTTCTACAGGCGGCCTATGCGCCATTGGGGCTAAAAGGCGTAAGTAAGTATGTAATTATGAATTCATGATTTAACATTTCGGATAAGTACTTGCTGCCGCTCAGACTGAATTTATATGAAAATAAGGAAATCATTAAAATCTAAGATACAATAAAACTATTGTCTCATTTTTAAGAATGTAGTGTATATACACAACTTTCAAGATTCTAATAGTGTGAGTAGGTTGTGAATTCCGAACACCAATGGAATTAACATCGATCGGTTAAAATTTTCAACGTCATTAGAAATTATTATTGCTTTATTTGATGAATGGTTTTTTCAGATATTTATTCATGAGTAAAGTTTAATGAAAACATTAGGTTCATCTATGCAATATCTTATTTAGTGCAACAACTATTAGTTGCTTAGTAACCATTAAGAAAAAAAATACTATACATTTAAATTTGTATCTGTTATTGAAAGATAATAACTAGTCAAACATATGTTATGAAAAAATATATATATATATTCATATAGACTAATTATCCAAGAAGCAGTTAATCAGAACTTCATGAACCTAAAACAGTATGGAAAAAAGTGGTGTATACAAAGAACTACTTGAACGATGTTTTTTTTATATTAGTGTGTTAGTGGGACATAAATTCGATTTAAGCATCATGGCATTGCTGCATGCTGATTGGTTCTTTTGTATCCAATCAACGCTAGCCGATACTGAAGGAACATTCTAGCATAAATATACTAACGTCTTTTTCCTTTGGACCTTCTGTCTACTATTCTAACCTTATTGTTGGAATATGTAATCTCTGTTTCCTTCCTGTTCAATCGTGTTCTGATTTGGGAGAGAACATCTCGAGTGAATTGTTGGTGTCCGAGACTACTAAGCATTAGGAGGAATAGCTGCATTGTAATAAAGAGAAAATTGAACAGAAACAAGCTTGTTTTGCTTTCTTAAAATTAAAGATTTGAAAGAAAAAGGATAACTGTGATGAATTGTTCACTGTTTCAAATATAAGATAGAAATCAAGATAAGTTAAGAGTGATAAAGATGTAAGGGGAAGCTTACAAATGACTGTAATATCAGTGAAAATGAAACAGTCCCAAGGCAAAAAGAAAAATGCTAACTTAGGATGATGGTAGAATTTGTCAATTTGAAGTACTTGAAGCAGGAATTTTTTAAGGATACCAATGATAAACTCAAGGTCACTAATCGCTTAGACTTTCGAAGCTAGTCAGACATAGTGAACGAAAACATAAGTCAGTAAAACGAATCAACAAAATTGTAAGTGTGAATTTGTATGTAGTACAGAAAAAAAAATCAGATGTTAAATGGTTGGAGCCAGTCAGCAGACAACAATCTTGAGAAAACTCTTCATACAAATCTAAAATGAAGTCATCAGTGTCGCAATTAGGGACGTTATAAGTAAGCTGTTCTCGCTTTGGCCTTACTCAAGAATTCCTGTTGACTGTTTCTATGGGACTAACATGAACATACACAGTGCATGCAATATCAAGTCATTTAGGTTCAAAAGAATATTTCAACTTGATCAACAGAATTAAATCTGCAATGCAGGTAATGAAAAACTCAAAAAAAAGAGATTCGCTTTGGTAGACAGGAAATAACGAGAATTGTAAACGTGAAGCGGAGAAATCCAATTGATGAAGCATGACTAAGTTAGACACGTGATAAGCGAAATAATCAATGCAACATATACTCAAGTAAAAGCGTTGAAGGATATAAGCAAATAACTGACTAGGTCAGAACACAAGTGAATAATGACTGGAGTAGAAAAGGTTAATTAATTTGTTCAAAAAACTAAGAGAAGGAGTGTACGCTCGACATAGTAGCGCATATTGACAAGACTAATACAGCATCGGTTACTATTCAGTGATGAACCCGTGTCAATTGTCAGGCATGTTTGTTGCAAACTGATCGTACCGATGATGATTTCACTAGAAAACTGATATAGTTGATATCAGTAACTGTTCTTGAAAATCTGTACGCTTAAGGTATCGCAAAAAAATGAACACCTAAGTGTCTCATTTAATAAGAAAAGACAGACAGTTATTCATTTAAATGTCATAAATACATTGCAGTATAAGTGGTCACGAAAATTCATGTGGTTTTTCTAACCGCCACATAGAGAAGTGTATTCATAGTCGGTCAGTCAGTCAGATGCAACGTAGAACTTCGTACGTAAGTACATCAGTTCATGTCGCCACACCACATCAGCACAGAGATGTGATTGTCAATTCAAATCCAATAGTAGAAGAGGTAGTAAAGGTATTAGAAGTAATCGGAGAGGTTAGGATTTGAAGATATTATTCAACAAGTATGATTCAGTGAGAAAAGTTTAGAAAGTCAAAACTAGAGTTGTTGAAGAATCCAGAAGATTAGGATTTGAGAGAACACAAAGAATAAATGCACCAGCGCCATTGCGAACGATTTTGAGCCATATCATTCAGGGTATCTAACCATCGATTATTATCATCCCGCGGACCCCAACCAGGTAGTCGACAATTACCGACATGACTCAATCTACTCGTCAATGACTTCATGGATTTGTGCCATGTTTTGGTTTGGCTGCCCCTAACTTTCTTCCAACCTATTCCTACACTACAAAACAAAGCTCATCTAGGCAGTCGGTGGTTGGGCATACGCAACACATGTCCCAACCACCTCAACTGATGAAGTTTCACCACTTCATCTATCGATCAGCCATCCTTACCTAGTACTCGTTTCCTAACGACAGCATTGCTTACTCGGTTGTCCCACGATATACGAGCAACGCCTCGAAGACACCTATGATCGAAAACCAGTAACCTCCGAATATCTTCTACTCTCACTGGCCATGTTTTACAGCCATAAAGTAAGACAGAGCGAACCACTGAACAGTACACTCGTCCTTTAGTCAGCAAACGGATATCTCGCCTTCGCCATAAGTGACGCAGGTTGGCAAAAGCCAATCGAGTCTTCTGTATCAGAGCTGAGATTTCGTAATATTCATAGTACGAAAATTTAAATACTGAAATGATGAATAAATTTATGTTCAAAAGTGTTTTTAAGATAACTACCAACTAACATATGGTAGTTTTTTTTCTATGTAGATCCAAGCCAGCAACTGTACATCGTCTTTCTTGATCATGACACTTTAAATATAGTTGGATTATGAATTGAGTATATAAAAATATAGTTTACATTGATGATTATGAGACTGCTTCGTCTGAAAATCACAAAATTACGTTGTTCAGTTCAATTAGTCAGTAGTAGCATGCGATAAATAATGATTCTTATTGCTGACATTTAGTACAAATAAACTTTTGACAAGGTGTATATCTCTACACACGGTACACAAGTGTATAGTGTTACATATACAAACTTATAAATTATAATTAGATGTGTAATTGTAGCATAATAGTACTGCAATGCTATGTGCTACTTACTAGTCAAACAAAAACTAATTCGTTCATCAAAAAAAACGTTAATTAAACTGAACTAAAACATATTGAGCTTAACAGAAAAGTACTGATAGAGATCTACACACAAAGTATTTCAGCAACAAACTTCAGCCTCTCCACCCCTCAATCATAAGCTACCCTTGACTAATTAATATGAAAACCTAATTAAGATGGTGGAGAAAATTTGTAGCTCCGGTGGATGATTGTGATGATGTTTAGTTCTCTGAACATAATTAAAAATATCCATATCGTAATGAATGATATGAAGTGATATAAACAAGGTCATTACATTGAATAAGGCATAGTAGTTTAGTTTAACCATTGTCATCCCAATACATATCAGATGATAATAACACATCGGGCTGAATAAAACAGGCCAATGAGAAATTTGCACTGTGATTGGGTATCGATGACGACGATAACCTTGAATAATAAGCCAATAAGAAACAAGATTGAGAAAGAGTTTTACCAAGTCACGTTCTTCAGGGATGTCAAAATCGTCTGTGGAAAATTGAAGATTCACATGAGGTTTTACAATTGCGCAGTTTTTTTTTTGTATCGGGATTAATCACTAACTTTCGTTCAAAAACAAGTATTGAGAAGTCAGTCAATACCTGTTGTCTGACGGATATAAAAAATAACTATGCAGTAGGTCCTAAGTTCGTGAACTAGACTATCAATTGTTATGCTTATTCAAACAATAAGTTTAATGGGTCCGGAACCATGGGTCTTGTAGCTCAACTTGAAGTGCACACGCCAACAAAATCGACTTTCACTACAAAAAATTACATGTAAAATTCATGTAGTGTTGGGCACATTAAACTCCCAGAACTCACTTGAAAAAGGTCTTGATTTTGGATCTCCTATGTTTTCGCGCATAAGTTGCTTAGTTGATCTTGAGCTTACGTTTTACACACTCAGAAAGTCATTGACTGTCATTGGCTGATGGATTATTTTAGTATGCTATTTTATGGGCTTTCCCAAGGACGTTGCTACCATTGTATAAATAAACTTGTATTGTTGTAGGCTTAGCGACTTCGTATTTTCAAGAATTCTTGATATAGTTAGCTAGCTGGACCGGGGACAAAAACGGATTAGAATAGCCTATCGTGTCACTGTATCACATTCGTCTTATCGCCGTTTACCGAATAAGGTAAACTCGTAATAGTTTTAAGCATATCCATTGACGGGTATATCATGTAGTGATATTGAATGTGGACGAAAATAAAGAGATTGAAAAAAAACGTCTGAATGAAATTATCCTAGGCAAACATTATTTTAAAAAAACAAAAAAACTAACTAGTACATTGGAAGGTACCTTGCTAGTGTAGATTTTCCGCTGCCTGGGACACCACGTAACAAAACTAGAAATTTTGATCTCCATCCAGAATTATAAGTTTCATTGATCACACTCTTAAGTCTCACTATTTCTGGGGAACGAGAGAATAAGTTCTCTTGCGCTTTTGATTTTTGAACAACCACCATACATTCAGATGTGGATTTCGTAATCATTCTATTTGTTTTTTTTAATGATACAACTATATTATCAATTGAAAATATGAAAAAGAAAATAAAGAATAAACTATACAAACATGTTAGTAAAGATACAGTAAAATTAAGAATCAAACTTTTGGTCGAAGCGAGCAATGAAAAAAAAAATACTTATTAATCAATTAACTGATCATTACAAGATTTCACTAATAATAAATCCCATTACACAAGCCAGTCGTCAGTTACAATGTAAAACTTCGTACATAAGTACATCAGTTCAGGTTACCACACCACACCAGCACAGAGATGCAATTGTCAGTTCAAATCCAATAGTAGTAGAGGTAGTAAAGGTATCAGCAGTAATCGGAGAGATTAGGGTTTGAAGATATTATCCAGTGAGAAAAATCTAGAAAGAAAAAGGTAGAGGTGATGAATCATTCAGAAGATTAGAATTTCATAGGACACAAAGAGTGGATACACTTACGCCAATGCAAACGATTTTTAGCCATGTCGTTCAAGGTCTCTAAACATCGATTACTATCGTCTCGCGGACCCTAACCAGGTAGTCTACACCTAAAAAAACATGACTCAGTCCACTTGTCAGTGACTTCATAGAGTTGTGTCATGTTTTGGTCTGGCCGCCACTAACTTTCTTCCAACCTAACTCCTACACCACAATTACAACGTCAGTACAAACAAACGTATGTAATATAATGTACACATATACTCCTAGTTGAGTCCTATTTCACCTAAATACAATCTCAGTAATCGATCAGAATGAGCTGCTGTTACAATTAGTTAGCTAAACAGGATCACGTAGTAGTTCTTTATTTAGGTCTAGTTGTTTAAGTTTTTTTTTTACTTAAAACAAAAAAACTGATTGTAAAAAAAAATTGTGTTAACTATGGACAATGTGAAAAACACATTCGTAATTTCGAAGTCATCATTTCATTGTAATACAATTGGATAACAAGATAAGTGTTGTCATAAATCCGATGTCTGTTTATAGTACCGTTTTACACAATCAATTACATGGAAAACAATTTAAGACGTGGTACATTATAACGTATCAGTTCAAGTTGCCATATTACGTTAACACAGAGAGATTAAAATTATCAATATATTAGAAGCAGTAAATAGTATCTAGTAGTTGTAGAGTAGATAGATGTATACCGAAATAAAAACAATGAACCAACTGGTTAACAATTTTAAGTCATACTACTGAAAATCTCTAATCATTGAATACGACAGTCATTCGATTGGAGGATAATTTATGACGGGCAAATAAAAAATTTTTCATTTAATATTATAAGTAATTTATTTATGTAGGGCACTAAGAAAAAATTTGAAAGTGAATTGAAGACTTCAGACGTTTAGAGAATAGGTATGAACTGATTTTGTAAAACATATGGTATATAAAATTAGGCTTGAAAAAAATCTTGAGATGATTTCTAGTTTATTAAAAGGTCTACTACATGAGAGTATAGAGATGATGATTGGATAATTTACAATTCATGTACTTTAGGGTTGAATGTACGTATTCCTATGGCTTCTGCAATGTGTAGGAGACGGGATCGAACTTCGTTGGGAAATGATGGAGGTATACAAATTATAACACCCGAAAAGATCTAGATTTATCCTACAATGTGACCACTATCTCTACCAGGTGTGCTAAGATAGAACTGCGTATTGTTTTTGACTGACCCTTCTTTAAACCATGCTGGGAGATGTTTACTCATTCATTGTGTAAGTTGCCTGGAAGTACGCCCGATATAGCTATCTCTACAGGAGCAGCTGAATTTGTAAATGCACATAGAGGAGACCAATTCATATACTTTTTCGAAATCCTCATACCGTAATACAATTAAGTGTACAAACAAATGTATTGTATTGTATGTAATACTTGCTTATTCGTAGTAAAACTAAAGAATCATGATATATGTATATACAGTTTGTAGTTGTTAATTGACAACAATGTATACTACATATTGTAATGGTCATTGAATAAAGAAAAACATTTCAATATCATCATCTTCATCATCAGACAATGTGTTGGTCTAGTATAATAGAATAATTCTGATATTGTCCTTGATAATTGGTACAATGAAAAAAATTCCATTATTCTTAATTAGATACATACATACATATTTTTTTCTAAACTATGAAATGTTGACAAACAAAACACTAAGATCCAAGATATTATATATATTGATTTAGTCAGTAATCTAATTTAATTGGTGAACTAGAGACAGGATAGCTGAAGTTGATTAACAGAAATATTGTTTGTTTCTTGTACATTTTTAAATAAACTAACTGTAACTTTGAAAATGAATGTATATTGTCTAACTAATGGTATTATGAATGATTTCTCACATGGCCATAGCTCGTGCATCTATCTCTACCTGTCAAGATTACTTACTTACTTACGCCTGTTACACCCAATGAAGCATAGGCCACCGACCAGTTTTCTCCAACCAACTAACTCTGTCCTGGGCTTTCCTTTCCGGTTCTGTCCAATTTTTGTTCATTCCTCTCATATCTTTTTCTATTTCTCGGCGTAATGTGTTCCTTGGCATTCTTCTTTTCTTTTTGCCTTGAGGGTTCCATGTGAGGGCTTGTCTCGTGACGCAGTTAGGTGCTTTTCGTAGTGTGTGTCCTATACTCTTCCATAACTTCTTCCTGATTTCCTCCTCCACTGGAATCTGGTTTGTTGTCTCCCACAATACGTTGTTGCTGATCGTGTCTGGCCAACGAATACGAAGTATTTTGCATAGACAACTGTTAATAAACACTTGTATCTTCTGGATGATGGCTTTGGTAGTTTTCCAAGTTTCCGCTCCATAGAGTATAACTATCTTGACATTTGTATTGAAAATTCTAATTTTGGTTTTGGTTGAAAGTTGTTTGGAGTTCCAGATATTTTTCAATTGTAGAAATGCAGCCCTTGCTTTGCCAACCTCTCAAAATACTACTCATAAAAAAATACATCTTTCTTTCCACTTTTGTTTTTCTGATTTTAAATTTTATAGAGCATTCCATATCAGATTTAGACAATTATTGTAGACTTATTGAAGTATAACAGTGAAAGGAATTGGATATGCTAAATAAGCCAACTAGAATACATTTACAATCGAAGAAAATATGATGGGAAAAGTTGGGCGAAATAATTTACAGCTTTGAATATTTAGTGGTCAAAAAAAGGAATCGAACTCGTGTATTGTTTGAATTATCTATGAATTTCTCTCAGTAATAATACGGAAAAGAGACAATACTACTTAGGAGATAATAACAAGCGAAATTTGAGAATACGTGGAAGTCTATGGTGAGTACATGTTGTTTTAACCAAGTGTTTCAAACGATCAATACATAAGATTTTCAAAATCCCAGATGATCAAACACTATCGATCCTAGCTGAACATGATCACAATTAGTCACCAACGTTGTTCCGATCTATATAGAAAAGCCTAGTTTTCTAACAACAATTTACTTATCTCACACGAAAAACTAACATTCTGTCTCCATGGAGTAGTCAAAATAAAAAGGACTAAGCGAAAACTTGGAAATGAATATTCCTAATTTACACAGTTTAAATTACGAAGTGATCTTAGTTAGACATTTCGTCATAGCATGGAACTCCTCAGCCAGTAGTTCTAAAATATACTTGTAGATATTGGAGAAAACCTGCATTACTAACAAAACTTGTGTCCAGTTTATATGATCCCCCTTCTTTAAACCTGTCATTCGTCAATCTCATCAAATTTGAACCATGATATCTTGTGATGATAGGAAGTGTACGAGAATGTAACTTCCAAATGAGTACCGTCTGGCTTATTCTAATAATAGTTACTCGATATCCTTAAAAACGTGTTAAGGTATTACCTCTTCGAGAGGCAAAAGTAGTTAGAAAGTAATAAAGTAGGCTTTAGAAAGATGAAGATTACAAAATCAGTCTTAATGATGAATTCTTAAGATTAAGATACGGACTATATTTTCAAACTACCTAATTAAGCTTGAAGGTCAATGGCATGCACACCAATAAGAAGTATACAAACAGGCATAGCAACGGAGTACAAATTTGTCTCCCTGTAACATGTGATGGTGTTAAAATGAAGCTGGTCTCATTTAGGATTAAAGTAGTTAATGTCAATACAGGTTATAGGCTTTCATTATAATAATTGAACTCGTATGACCTGAATGTCTATCCACATCTTAAAATGTACAATTTTATTGGTTTAAAACTCGGAGATAGTAGTGTGACAGACAGTCACGAGGTATCGTTTAGTAAAGTAGAGAACGCATGTACGTGAAAAAGATTGAAATAGCGGGCTGATATGTCTAATAATTATGATATCTTTGGGCCTAACACGTCCCAACGAGAGGATCCATGGCGCTGGTATTGATTTGTTTCAGGCATTTATGTCATCAAACAATACCTAAGATACATTTTTCAGGAAATAAACAAGCCTGAAAAACCAACCATACACCTTTCACGCAGCATAGCGGCTGACTCAACCAGTAAAATGTAAAATATGTGGTTAAGGAACGAAATCGGATTTTTAGTACAAGTAAAGGGTATTGTAGTATACCTTTATTATCTTGTATTTAATCTCAGTTTCGAAATAAGAGAATGGCTATTTTCAGAGATCATTCTGCGCCTAATTTGGTATGAAAGATGTTCACAGAAAGTTTGATAAGTGACTCTGATAGAAGGTTAATGTTCAAGTGTACTGGTTCAGTGAACACTCAAACCTTGTTCCCATTAAACTACTAAATCTCATTTTACTTGGTTAAACTGGTATACATACTTAGGGGAGCCTTGGTTGTAATTTTATCGGATAAAGTAACCCAGTTATGACGACTAAGTATCTGATATACGTTCAATGAACGCATTGTGACAAATAAATCGGTTATAGCAATTTAGACAGTCGACTGCAGTATTCAATTATCATACACTTAGTGAATGAACTATAACAGAAACATCTCAGTTAAGAAATCCTATCACAACTTATCCATTACAGTAA